GAGAATACTGGATGACAGTAGGAACTTCATACACCTCCCTCATTTTAGAGTTGAAGTGCTCAACTATTAAGGTGACAAGGGATTTGGGATTCACATGCTCAATGTAGGCTGGATTGACGGTCGTTAACTCTTTTTCTATACAGCGAAGGGCCTCTAGTGTCATCCTTATGCTGGCAACTGTCTTGTCTTCTGCCTCCTGCATTCAACTTCGCCTCTTCTACAGCTGTTTCGAAATAACTCGTTGCATCGTCCAGGAGACGCGTCGCAGTTGCCAAAAATGCTGGTGGAGAATGGATACAATGCGATGTATACAAAAGCCGCACATGCTTCAGGAAATTAGCAATTGGCTTAGTGGGGGATATAACCTTTAGTGCTCCAGCTCCTGTGTCAGTGAGATATAGAGAGTCTCCTTCGATACAAAGGCCTGTTGGCTGAACAAATGCGGCTGTTTTATCGCAACCATCATGAGGTGTTTCTCCTTCTGATCCGATGGTATATTCTGCTCTATTGCCTTCCACGACCTTGCCTATTTTACGTGCATCGACATCTGTGAAAAAGATATCACCAGTATCACTGACAGCAAGACTGTATGCTCTACTGCAAACGCCCGTACCATTATGGATGACCTTTACACACGTTGCCTTGCCGCTTTCTTTTGCTGTGTCTACTATGTAGATTCCGCCATCGTTCTCTGAGTTGGCAACCAAGATGTCTCGTGTCTCCTTGTTGTAGGCCAGTCCTGTACAGCACGCCTTTCGCAATATCGTAATGAAAGATTCAGATTCCGCCTTCAGTACTGTACCAGTGCAGCTAACGGCAACTTTCAGGATTGTCGGACTGTTACGCTGCGAAACGAAAAGGATGGTTCGGTGTTAGTTGGAGCACAAGGCCAAAGGACTGAGATCGTCTAGAAGTGAAATTAATCCATTACTTTTTGGAGATGCAGGAGGATTCTCCATAATCCACTCAGAAAGCATTGACCTCATTTCAGCAACAGATACTCTCTCGTCTTGGCCGAGCAGGCCGCGCTTGCGGAGCTCTTCTTGTAGCCGAGGCTTTTTCAGTGCTTTGGGATTTAATTTCACAACGTTACCGACGTCCAAATATGACAGACTATCTTCTTCTGCGACAAAGATAACACTCGATTCGTAGATGACACATGTTGGATTTAAAATATCCCTGGCTAGGACTTGGACGTCTGCAGGGTTATGAAGCCTGACTTGAAAAAGGGATCCAAGGGAGTAATCCACAACATAAAGTGAACCAAATGCACCACAGCAAACTGAGATTGGATGGAGTAAAACTCCAAGTTTGTTAAGGCCATATTCCTTCCAGAACATTTCCGGGACTACAGTATGGACAAGATATCCCATTCGTAGCAAAACGTTCTCGACGTTAGCTCCATTGCACTCTGCAACGTAGTTCGTATCCATTCGATCTCGGCCCCTCAGCCCCTTAGCTATAGTACTGTAGCTTAGCTTAGCTTATAGTAATAGAATCGAACCTGGATGAATGATGAACCGTGGGACCTAACTGGTTAAGCATGGCATGGTTGTTTTCTCGAATCCGGGATTGAAGTTCTACCGTATAGACTAAGACGAATTGTCGGCACATTGATAAATACAAACATTAATAGAGTACTTACGTGATTCGTGCTTTCGTTTCCGATGAGAAGAAGACGACTTTTCCTCCATTTCCGTTTCCTCCATGGTTTTAACGCATGAACGTTTCCGGGGGGGGTACTCGCAGAAAAGTTGGGTAGGGGTGTGCGGCCCGCTTCCCAAAACCCTTACCCTATTTATGACCTAACCAAAAATTTGATACCCTATTTATGACCTGACCCTTAAATCAACACCCTGTTTCAGACCTGTCATATAATTATTTCCCTAGTTCAGACCAATGTTAAAGGCAATGTTTATCTGCTTTTATTAGGTTAGGGGGACATGATAAGGAAGTAGCTTCTTCTAAAAAAGTGCATTCAAGACTACAGTGCAAAAATCGTTACCCTATTTATGACCAAAATGGCGGCAAAATAGCCAAAATCGATAGCCAATTTATGACCAAAACGGCTGAAAAACCCTACCCTTTGGTGCCGCACATACCTATATAGCCCATATTAGGGAGTACCCCCCCCCCGGGGAACGTTTCCACTCAACTAGCTTCAACTGAGTTCAAACACAGCCGCGCATTCTTTTTGACGACTTCCAGACAAATGTAAGTGACAGCGCGTCAGTCTCAAAAAAATCAAAGGCAAACGACCAAGTGTAACCTCCTGACCGGAAATTAGGTCATGGCCAGGAAAATAATAGAGTTTATTGACTGTTGACAGGTTTACAACAAAAGCCTCCTTCGTAAGACTTTTGTACAAGCTAATTCTAGCTCATTGTCATATCTTCTCATAGCTCTGAACCAAATCTGGGGCTCGAATTTTAAGAGTCTAAACGTCTCGCGCTCGCACTCAAAACACTTTGAAGTCTCGGTCTCGCAATCTAAAAAGTCAAAATGTCTCGGGCTCGCAAAGAAAAACGCTAGTCTCGCCGTCTCGCAAAGTCTCGCATTTACCATTCGCCACCCCTTCTTGTAACTACCTGCACTGAACAGTAAACAATGTTTTTAATAGAATTCTCTAGATCAGAAGTTGATCCAAGCTCTCTAAGGAATAAAAATAAATATCACTACCCCGGGATACAAAACATGTACAAGAAAGGCAACGTAGAATTTTAAGTTCTTTCCGCAATTTCAGAGTGAATTTCACCGCGGTGCATATAAAAGTCCATAAATTATTGTAATAATCAGGCTGTTTAAAAACGTTTGACGCACAACAAAAACAATTAGTCATTTACCGTTTTATCTGTTCTCGGTAAATAAGACGCTTACCTTTACTTTAGATTCTTGATGGAAGAAGTCTATCCAGGCAGCTGAAGTTAGGCAGTTTCGTTTCAAAATCAAATCACAGCGTGATAGTGTCACGTAATGTTATGGTCACGTGGCTACGTAACCCGTCGTGCTCCAAAATCTTTGCGATAAACGAACTTTCTGCTTCTCTCCCGAAAAAAAAAGCCCTAATTGAATGAGTTTTTCCTCTTTAAGTTGCACAAAATGCATATCACACCAAGGAATTTGTATTGGTAATGAATCATTATTTTCACGGCATGGACTCCGCCCTTCCATATTTTCAGGCCCGGCCCGCATAGGAGGGGTGAGGGTGGGGGACGGTGGGATACCTATATACCCGCTTGTGTCCTCATAAGATACCAATATAGCTAAAGATTTGTAAAACGTTTGATACCGAATGCCTGAAATTACCTTGAAAAAGAATACTATATACCTAAATAAGGTATTTCAGGACTGAGACAGACCGTCCAACCCGGCTTTTTTATTTATCCCAGAATCTAGTATCAGTGTCCAAAGACAAGGAGCGAGCCCGTACGGGCGGGTTAAGGCGGCATGCTCCCCCAGAGACGCCATTTCTATAGTGTTCTTAGCCTGCGTAGCAGGCCCTTGAAAGTAGTGGACGCAAGAAAGAACGGGTGTCTCCGTGTGTCTCTCTCGCGCGCCCGTTCTTTTTGCACCCACTATTTTCAAGGGCCTGCTACGCAGGCTATGTGTTCTGACAAGGTCCTGCCTTTGTTTACAATGCTCATACAGAGCCCACTGCGCCTGTCCTCAACTCTAACGACTCTAGGAAACTGTAAAGCTTCCGAAGGTATATTATCCTTAAAGCTCGCATTTGGACCCGCTCTATTGTACTAGGCAGATGGGCAGGAAGGGCGTTATATCAAGCCACGCAACATTGTACTCTAGGACGGAACGTAAGACAGCGACGCAGATAGCCGCAAGGTCCATTGCACCAATTTCCTGGGCAACTCCCCCCCTGCCTCGAACCTTGTGCGAACGAACTGTTTTGAGTCTGGACCTTGTCATCCTGTGATTAAAGATCATTTATCTATTTATTTTATTTGGCACTAAAAATCCGTAAACCTGAACAAAACTGAGCCCAGATACCTGAAAACCCAAAACCCCCGGCCAGACCTATCTCCTTTAGAACGTCAAAATCACGTAACCCGGATGTCAACAAGACGTCACATTAAAATACTCTACATGGAAACTACAAGACTCCCTGTAGCTGCATTTTTAAAGACTACTACATCCGTTCTTTGGAAACGTTTTTGTCGTACTAACTATTTTGGCCTCTTATATGGGACATTCTAAGTTGACAGCATAAGGGATTAGAGACCAAGTAGCACAGGCCACCCCACCAGGTTCCTAATCTCAATTGTTGCACATGCGATTTCACTCTTCAAGCAACAAACTTGAAAAACAGGAATCAAATTTTGCTCTAAAAATTATGCTTTGCCAAGCCCGAGAAATGAATTCACATGTGCAACAATTACAATAAGCGACCTGTCAGGCTGGGGCAAAAGGGTTGGTAGGTCACGTCTCTAATCCTTTATACTGTACGTGAATGTTAGAATTGTACCATATAAGAGGCCAAAATAGTCATTACAAGAAACTGGTTTGAAATGAACGGATAAAAGAGGGTTCAAAAAATGCACCTAAAGCCAACCTTACACCTCGTTGGCATACTAACGTGATTCTTGAAAACGTTTTAAAGGAAGGGATTAATAAAGCCTGCAAGGCGTATTTTGCTGTGTGATCGATTTGAACTTTCGATTGACCGGGAGTTGGGGGGAGTCAAAAAGTGATTCCAAGGGAGAGGTTGCCTGCCATCCTCATCGGGTCGCGCGATAAAAAAAAAACGCATGGGCGAGGATTAATAAGGCCAGTGGTACCATGCCGTAGAAAATGATTCATTACCAATACAAATTTCTTGGTGTGATACGCATTTTGTGCAATTTAAGGAGGAAAAACTCATTCAATTAGGACTTTTTTTTTCTGGAGAGAAACAGAAATTTCGTTTATCACAAAGATTTTGGCCACCGACGGGTTACGTAGCCTCGTGACCATAACATTACGTGACACTATCACGCTATGATTTGATTTTGAAACGAAACTGCCTAACTTCAGCTGCCTGGATAGACTTCTTCCATCAAGAATCTAAAGTAAAGGTAAGCGTCTTATTTACCGAGAACAGATAAAACGGTAAATGACTAATTGTTTTTGTTGTGCGTCAAACGTTTTTAAACAGCCTGATTATTACAATAATTCATTGACTTTTATATGCATCGCGGTGAAATTCACTCTGAAATTGCGGAAAGAACTTAAAATTCTACGTTGCCTTTCTTGTGCATGTTTTGTATCCCGGGATAGTGATATTTATTTTTATTACTTAGAGAGCTTGGATCAACTTCTGATCTAGAGAATTCTATTAAAAACATTGTTTACTGTTCAGTGCAGGTAGTTACAAGACGATAGCGCCCGCCAGTTGATCGTGGTAATCAGTAACATGCATGACCATCCCTGTTAGTATATCTCTTTCGATTCAAAAGTACTTAAAGAAGCTTAATTACTTTCTTTTAGAGGCCGGAGACGAATTCAAGTGTCAAAAGAGGCAATTTTATGGAACTTTTAACCTGTACAATCATGACATCTGACACGGCCGGTAATTATGCAAATACGCAAAATGGCAGATTATAATCTACTGTTGGTTGCAATCCCAGAAGATACCCGCAAGTCTGAGCCTATAAACCAAAAAAATAAGCTTAAAACTTTACTTTGATATGATTTTTAAACCAGATTTAGGCCGCAACTTTTGAGATATTTTGCCTCAAATCTTCCTTACTTTCAAGGTTTCGATCAAGCCTGCAAAATAGGTATTCTTTGAACCACTGTAACTTGGACACGTTTTGATCAAAGATATTTTTATTTAGCCTGTGAACTATCGAAGGTTAACTAAAAAAACTGAATCGAACAGATTTTTTGTGCGGGCATTCGGTTGTTTGCAACGCGCTTTTCAAAATCCATCAATTTTAGTCTTCGAAACACTCTCTGAGAAGCCGAGACGGACTCAATTCGTTTTTGGCTTGTAGCAGAGCTAAGAATAAGAATTTGAAAACAAAAATAGCGATTTTAGTATACACCTACTAAAGCCTCTTCACCGACAAAAAATGAAGCAAAAGTATTTTTTGTCGCGAAATCGAGTGGACCGCTTTTAGGGTAGCCTGCGAAAACATCCGTTTCTCCTCGCTCTTCGTCGCTGGGGACGTTTCGCGAGGAGGAACGTCTGCGACTCAGCGACAGAAATTCCATACTGATGACGCAAATCAGTGTTTACATAATAAATCCGGTAGTCACGGGGTTCCAAATATAAATTTGTCTAATTTTGCGTGTCTTCTGGTCCATTTTGGTAAAGTGCTGTGTTGATCTGCCCACGAGCTTCAGCAAAACTCAAATGCTTTTTCTAGAGAAGGCTATATTCCACAAATATTGACGGTTTTGTTAGAGATTCTTCACGTTTACATTTGACCTTTGTGGCCTTTTGTCTTTTGTCTGTCATTCATAAACAATAGCTAAAACAATGTAACTGCTGCGTCGACCAATCAGCGCTTCTGACCGGATTCCGGACAGATTTTACGTCATCAGTATGGAATTTCTGTCGCTGAGTCGCAGACGTTCCTCCGCGCGAAACGTCCCCAGCGACGAAGAGCGAGGAGAAACGGATGTTTTCGCAGGCTACTTTTAGGGAGACTGCCTCTTAATATGGTGTAATAGAGGGAGAGGTGGGGGTGGGGGAGGGCTTAATAACTTTTTCCCTCTGGAAAGGGGGACCCTATTAGAGAGAGGGACTTAATAGAAGATTTGAGATATTTCTTCGTTTGAAGGCCTATTGTGTCTCATAAAATAGTCATAGAAAGTCAGGCACAACAAAATCAGTGAAAGACAAGTTACGCTTGGTAACATCGTTTAATTTCCATTAAGTAGTTTAGAAGCTAATGCCTAAAGTCAGAACCATCCCCATCTGAGGATAGCCCCCACGGGTATGCAATTTCTAAACAAGAGGATAGCTGGCCTTTGTGGCAATTCCACATTGATTATTCTTGTTTCTTGCCATCTTGATGTAGCCTCTATCTCCCCAGTCAGTCCCCCAGGAATTCTTGACCAGCCAATAGTCTTGGCCGTTTTCAGCTCCGTATCCAACGACAAGAACAGCACGGTCTAAAGAAAAGAGACTGTTGCCGCAGGCTCTGAAAAATCACATACAATCATATTATTAGTCTCATCACCCTGATTGTTCTTGAGATCACTTCATAGCCAACACGGCCAGGCTTTTTTTCCGTCCGAGTTAGCACTCAGTCAGGTAGTTGCCATAAAAGCGAGCAAGATTGTTGCCCGCGAAAAAAGCCGACATTTGGCGACGTCTCCAACGCGCGGTTTCCACGGAATGAAGTCTGAGCAGAAATTCCATAGACGGGTCTGCATACTGATGACTTGTCACTACCCAGATCTGGGTACTGAGTGCTTCTGATTGGTTGTAATCTTAATCTTTTTCTAGTACGATTAACAAAAAATCTTAATATGAAGTTTTGCTCGTTGTACAAGTTAAGAATTAATCTTGTTATTTTGTAAGATAGGCAAGTGGAAGAACTAAGAAATTCCAGCGATAAGTTTACGCTGTTGAGTGGACGACCAAAGTATTAGAGCTATTTCAAGACTAACAGTTAATCCCATGGTTTCCTTCTACATACGGACGACAAGACACGCGTGGCCGATTTGAGTAATAATATCAGGGACCTTACGAAACTACGACGGCGAGGGCAACGAGAACATTAAAAAAAGCAATAGGTTTAATGGGCAAAACAACAACTCTGCACGTGCATCAAGCTTTTTTTGTACATTTCTTGGCCGTTCCTGCACAACCAAGACTCGAAATGACCAAATCAGTTCAAATTTACTTGAGAACGGAAAAGACGAGGCGATTTATTCTACCATCTCTGTCTGAACTCGGGCGCGGTCCCCTCTCTCAACTCGAATATAAATTCCCCTCTTTTAAGTAACAGGGTGACTTAGGATGATCGCGAAATAGCTTGGAAGGTTCGTAAGCTCCCTAATCTTACCGAGAGGCCTACAGTGTTCAAACCGTGATAACTACGTACGCAGCCTGAAAATTAGAATTGCCTAAGCCTACTGCCAGGTCAGACCAAGAGAGATGAATGGGACAGAGAAGGAAACGCCCAGTCTAGTCGTTGGGATATGTGAATTTCACCAAAGTTGTTTTTAGACCAATTAAACGCTTGAGTTAAGCGGAAATTGGTTTCCGGAGATGTCCGCTTTAATCAATGTTTCAAGAGAGATTAATGGGACATTATGCTCTCTTGATGTGTCACCATTAAAATATTCTGCATTGAGACAGTCACGCGCGGACTTGATGACGTTTCAAACAATCAATTAAAATGTGCAGACGTCCCAGGAATTGGACTTTCTGCCTCTAAAAATAACTTTAGTGAAATTCACATATCCTGGCCACCGACCTTAGATTTCCCGCCCGTCCTATTATTCTCTTTTGGTCACACTCATGTCCCGAGAAAAGAAGCAATTGATTAGGCCCAATGGGCCAAATTTTGGGCGGCCGTTCCGATCGCTATTTTTGAGATATACACTGAAGATTCACAGGCCCTAATTTGAATATGCTCTTTCAGCTCGCGCTAACAAAATTTTTCAAAAGCGAACTGTTTTCGTGTTTACCAAAAGTTGATCACGTGATCAACTAATGCAAAAGGCCTACCTATTCTTGGTGACCCCATAATGCGTATTGATACCTACGGCTCAATATAGACCCCACTGCGATATGATTGAAATGAGGGACGGGTGGCATCAATGGCAACAGATATTGGTCCGATGGTGGCAACGGCTTGTTTTAGAGCTATCTCGTCTCCACTTGGAAGGTCTACAAATCCTGCAATGAAAAAAGAGGACGTAGGTTATACTCTCGGGTAGGAGGGGGGTACTTCCATATATGGGCTAGGTAGGTATGGGTATGGTTTTTGAGGGTCTCTATCCTTAAATAGAGGGTATCATTATTGCCCTTGTCGGAGTTGTGTTCCCCGTGTGATCCTTAGATAGAGTACTGTTACCATATCAACCTCGTCCCCAGGCCGCTTTTCCCTGGCTATGGAGCTGTGGCGGGAAAAGGCCCTGGCATCGGCCGGCCAATCCGTCACTTTGATTGGTTGATTGATCTAGGTAATTCATGTAAGGAAATGGCCAAATGAAAATGGAATTTGATGGCTTGTATAATCTTCGTTTAAAGTACATCTTTTATTTTCCCTCTGCAAAAGAGGGTCGTCGAATGTTTTAAAACATTGTATATATCAGCTAGCTATTTCTGGTGGCTAAAAAAAACTTCTGGTCGATTTTTTTTACAAAGCTGATATCTCAAACCCCGGCCGGACCAACACTCAGGGTCTTTAAATATATGAGAAGAAAGTGCTGCCTTTGAAATAACATCTGTAAACGGCTACACTTTCTAGTCTTCTCGGATAAGTTCGAAAAAACAGGGGTCCCGTCTCACAGCACTTTCGCTCATCTGTTTCTTGTCGGACGTAAATTACCGGCACGCCAATAGCACTTTTCGAACGTAGACCGCGGTGGTGTGGCCAACCTTTCCTGGGCTGGGTGGGTTATCTGTAAGGAGAGATAACCTCATAATCCTCCCTCAGGAGTCGTAATGGCTACAGGCAGACAGTGTATGTGTATAGGTGTAACCTCACTGAAGTTCAGGCTTCAGGAGTGATCATCGTTTATTGCGACAGTGCTGTTTCGTGTGGTCCGAATTACGTGTGTATGTATGAATGTGTCTTCGGAGGACAGCTGCCATACGATACTACTGTTGTTCATTGATCAATTATTCTTACCAGTTGCTGTAGCTGCATTGTACTCTGCTCGAAAATAACAATATCCCAAATCTCTAGCATAATATGGGTAGCCTGCCTCGGAATCGATTCCTTCATTGTCTCTTACGTATTTAAACGCATTGTCCATCCACCCCCCATGGCAGCCTGTATTGCCGTAACTTTTGGTGCAATCAATGAGATTCTGTTCACTGAGAGACACAAGTATTCCAGTCTTCCTGAAGTGTTGTCCTTCTAGAGATCCAGTCGCGCTGAACGCCCAGGACGAGCCACACTGGCCTAAGTCAGCGGAACAGAGGGGTCCGTTTACAATGGGTAATTTTATCAGTGCCAAAAATTGAAAGATATCTAGCTTTAGTAAAATCCAACTAGTGGTCTATTATCAATGCTGCATTCTGATTGGTTGAGCTACTACTTGGCTATATGTTATAGCCCCCTAGTAGCGAAACGCGCGGGCTTTTTGGCGGCAAAAAAGGATTAAAATCTAGCTTTTAACTAGCTAAAATTTGTTTATTCTCGATATTTTTGACCAACTAGTTGGATTTTACTAATACATTTATTCCTCTCGCCCTCACAGCCTCTGAGTCAATAGCTCTTCGGCCTCATGGGCTATTGACTCCGAGCCCATTCGAGCTCGGGGAATAATTGTTAAATAATAACCCTGCGAGCAGAGGTTTGTAGTTGGTTTGTTTACACCCCCGTTTCTCCTGGGGCGTACAAAACAAACCAACTACGCGACTGACAAACCACGCGAACGACTTCGTTAACGCTAAAAGTCATGTAAGAGAAGAAACCTCTACTCGCAGGGTAGCTATAGTGAGGATGAAATATAGGCTGCTGAGAAAGACTACAAGAGAGAGTAACTAGGAAGAAAGATGAATGAAGTGGTCAGTGTTGCGTCGGCGGGAAGTTGAAATAGAATTTTTTAGGGCATCACCAACTGATCGGATAGAATCAAGAGCTTAGCCACCGTAGGGGGACATGGCTCGGGAGGAGTACTCCCATACATGGGCTTTATAAGTATGTGCCGTCCGATAGGGCGGGGTTTTTTCGGGTCTCCGTTATTAAATGACCGTATCATTTTTGCCATTGTTGGCGCTGTGTTGCCGGTGTGATCCTTAGAGAGGGTACCATTCCCAGCTACACACGAGGAAAAAAACAACTGTTAAAACTGAACTTTACTTTAGAGTATTAGGACAGCGAATTGGGTTTCACTTTCCAGTTTTGGTTTAAGATCGTGGGCCGCCGGCATACACTTATCCGAGTTTTTTTTTGACGTTTTGAGCGTTAGCCCTATCAGTTAATGATAGCAAAAATTGTATTCCGCTCCCTACCGACGTAACTTCCCAATTTCTTTATAAACTAACCGCCCTTCCGCATGCATTTCATCTTTCCCACTTATTTTAACAAAAGGCGAAGTCTGACCTTCCATAATTCTGATACTCCTTCGCTAAACTATATAGAATACGCGTGGATGGAATCGTACGTTAGTATATTCGCTCACATTCTTTTTGAAAGCCCTTTGAGTCAATAGCAAGAGCCATGCTTGGTCAATAGGCTGTTGCGCGCTTTTCACCTCCAAGCGGGATCGATTCTCTCGTCGTTGCAACAGACGCTAGCGCTGTTATGCAAGTTTGCTGTTGACTTTCTCTTTCCATTCAAAGTTTTTCTTGCCAGGTTTGCCGTTTTTCTTCCCTAAACAAAAACTAAGTATTCTCAATACCACATGTTTATCAGCTAGACAAAAGTCCGAGTGACTGTTAACATCAGATTTTCAAGTTAGTACTTCTAACTTCAGATTAAGTCCCACAATTATGAATCGAGTTCACCTTCATTTTTTATTGGAGTTACAAATCCCTTATCTCTCCAGTCCACTGAATCTGGCAGCTGAGGTTTGAAGCTACTTGGAAGCGATTTCTTCGACGAACTTCCCATGTAAATGGCTCGGTCTTCTCGAGTTGGGTCCCCAAACTGGTTCATAGCTGGCTCCTGAGAGTAACCTAAGTCATCGTGTTTGGCAATTTTCTGGAAAAAAAAAAGGAGAAATGACGCACTTTTCTCGCCTACCCACTTCCTACGAGTCGTACCACGTGAGAAAGGCGCGCCCTAGCTCTCTTCCGTAGCGAGATGTTCCCTGCTAGCAGAGGTCTCTCACGACGAGGCAAAAATGAGAGAAAGGAGAGAGACCTCTGCCGGCTTCCGACGCGTTGTTTGATGAAGCCGCCGACCAGATTTCTGGTCGAAACTTACCGGTTTTTAAAACCGGTTACGTTTAATGTGTAATGCGCGTGCCTTGTTAAACTGTACGCTGACAATTATTGAGCCCACAGTGAATTATAGCTTTCATGAGATCCGCGAGTTTCGAAATTTCTCACTTTGATCAAGCCATAAAATCGTCCGTTTCTAAGCTTGGCGAGAAACGTATATATAAAAGAAATAACTTCCCTACAAAGAAAAGTCTTACTTGGTTTCCTTAAAGGACGCGATACGTTTGCGTGTCTCCCGACGGGCTACGGCAAATTTTTAATTTACCAACTAGCAGTACGAGTGGCGGCCGAGTTACCTGTTGTTTACAATTACAAGGATCTCTTCTCTACAGAACCAGTGGTTTTAGTTGTCTCTCCTTTGAACTCCTCAGCTAAATCCTTCTATGAGAACATCTACAACTTCAAAATCAATCTCACACAAAAACTCACCTCTGAGGTTAAATTTACCGAACGGAAGTCAGCTTTACAAAAGAACAATGAAGTGCGAAAGAAAATTCTGCCTTTCGTTACCACATACCACCCTGCTTTGCCGAACCTTAAAAACATTTTAATGAGCAAATGGCACTTAATTCAAGATCAACCACTACTGAGAGAAATATACAACGAGCCTCCGATCATTTCATATAAAAGAGCAAAATCGCTGGGAGATATCCTCGTTAGAGCAAAACTATAAGGTCACGTATCACACTATCACGAGCTTATGAGTCGTGTTTGGCCTGTCAACACCTTTCACCTTTAAAATCTAAACCACACAAAAGGCATCTAACGTCTTTTCCAGACCCAACTGGTTTAATGGGCGTCCGAGGTGACGCGCTTTCCCCAAATTTGCGAGATTGTGGAGTTCTCGGCATCGTTTCACATTGCGAAGAATTCTCCACAACATATACCCCCGCCTTCAGCTGAAGTTTCGCGCGCAAACCGGTTCTGTGGGTTGTGTCGCACGTGAGAAAAACGTCACTGGTTGTTAAGGAAACGCCAGCGCATGCGTGATAGGAAACGCGTCGGAAGCCGGCAGAGGTCTCTCTCCTTTCTCTCATTTTTGCCTCGTCGTGAGAGACCTCTGCTAGCAGGGAAAGCGAGATGCTGCCAAGCAATAAGTATACTTCAACTTATCTCAAACGTAACACATTCACCACACATACCTTTTCACAACTTGACGCCGACTCGCACAACTTGAATCTTAAATTTTACGCCTTAAACTGAAGCGATAAGTTTTGGACATTAGTGAAAGGAAAGGAAAAAACAAATTTGGACCAGATTCCCGGCGACGATCAGCTGTCTCCTTAGCCTGCGTGGCAGTCGTCGAAAGGGGTAGGGGATCGGGAGGAGGGGAAAAAGGGAGGGGGATTGGGGAGAGTCTGGGTTCACACGCAGGCCACTGTCTCCAAGGGATACAACACTCAAGTTAGGCAATTCTCGGCTTGCACTGTCACGCAATAACAAATAAAAATGCAAACCATTCAATACAGAAGGACTAGAATCTGGGAAATGAAAAAAGATAAATATACAAAAACCCTTGCCAAGAGTCAGGTCTGTAAAATATTTCAAATGCGAGATATTGGGAAAAACGGTTTACCTAAATTTATAAAGCTTTGTATGGAAACGCCATGTTGGTGTCCTTTTCAGGAACACCAATATGGCCGCCGGATACCAACAGAAACATCTGTTTTCGAGTTTTCCTACTAATGCGTGAATTCTTCGCTTTAGGAACTCATAAAGATTACAGTAATATTTATTCTGAGATTGCAAAATCTCCGAAAATCGGTAATGTTTTTGACCCACATAAGAGCTTTCCCTGCCGCCAGCTAAATGCCGCGTCACGCAAAAGCCTGGAAATTCAAGCGTCCTCTCTCGCAAAACGAAGAACCCTTTCGAACCAAAAATCTGTTTATGTAAAGGTGTTTAGGTACTGTAATACCTCGTGAAAGTAGAAACTCAGAAGAATCGATAGTTTCTTTGTTCGATTTTTGGTGACGTCACGTGCAACCCAAGAATATGAACAATGCAGTAACACTTGCTAACACTAGTTCACTGATCACCTCTAACATAAATTAACATTTGTCAAAAAAAAAGCATCACAATTAGGCTTTCTGCAAAGGGTGGTGACAAAACAATACTATTGAATAAAACTTGGAGCTCATTATGAAACAGATAAAAAAGGTGTTGAATAATACCTTATTTAAAATACAAATTACAAAAACTGACTACGAAATATAAAAGAAAATACACTAGACCAAAATATTTTAAAGTTTAAACAGTGAAGTAAAAGAAGTAGCACACTAGAGAAAATATTTGTAGTTCTAAATATAAGTTATCATCTTTAACGGTCATTCATTCATCTTTATAGATAAATTCAACGCTTCAAACCGCCCGAAAAGGCGAAAGACAGACACATGACTTGGGTAACATGGTTGAAGCTTTTATTGAAACTTTTCCACTCAAAACAGTATTTTGGAACAAAATGGAAACGCCGCAACATTCATCTGTACCGCTCTATACAGCACTGCTCAGATCTCAGCCGGTAACTGAACAGCGGCCACGTGAATAGAGGGCTGGCTTGCCTGTGGTTGCTTCATTATTTGTTTTTCATCACTAATTGCTTGAAATGTAATTCTAACCTTAGCCACACAGTCTTCCCTCTTTTCGTAAATGTGAGCAAGGTTAAATGTACATCGTCATTGAAATAGGAGAAAAAGAAAATGTGTGACTAGAATAACCGTTTCGTGTCGTACCTTGAGGTTTTGGGTCCAGATTGTTCTTCTCGCAGTTTGCTCCCTCCTCTCGGTGGTGTAGGCTTTGTTCTGTAAAGTCTTTCTCGTTTTCCATTCTTCATCTTTCTCTTGCCTGAGGATATAAGCACTACTGACTGCCCAGTAACAGAGGAAAACAACAAATCCCCGCATTCTGATGCTCTGAAATAAGTCCTCTTCTCTTATTTCAGTTGGATTGGTCAGTAGCGGACTGGGACTTTCTGTTCTGATGACTGCGCGATAGATTCAAGACTAAAAAGTAGCTTTGTAATTGCCAAAGCATCATGGGATACCCGGTACAAGATTTATACTCTTTTGAGCTCGTCAAATTACACGACTTTTTCCGTCAACTTGCCTAATTTTCCTTGACCCTAGGTTTAGCTGTCACTTTCGAAAATCTTCAAACCCATTCTTGTTTTGGGGTATTTTTTCAGACTCAGTTTAAGAGATACAAACTCTGGTATCCACCAAAACGCTGTTTAATGCTGTTTAATTACTTTTCTCTATCTTACTTTGTCCGGCCTTGCTTTGACATCTGCGATAACTTATCTACCTAACATAACTTTAATCAGTTTTCGATGACTTTCCAGTACCGAGAATTGCATTTCGTGCCTTGGCCTGGAAAATGAAATTCTTAAATTCCATGACTTTCCAGTTTTTCTTCGACCCGTGGGAACCTTGCGGTAGAGGAACATCAAGGAAAAACTGTCCCCGGGGTCGGTTCCTTTTGTGGATCTCTTTCCCTACATACTAGGATGAGTCATTGCCGCTAGCAATTGCGCACGCTCGCTAGCTCGCTAGTTTGAGCACTCTGGCATGGCTTAGATGTACCACATGTGTGGGACATTTGGGGTGGCTTTTTAAGCTTAACCCCCATCCTAGACATCAGCATTGCACTGATGAGGCCCAGAAGGCCGAAACAGTACGGTCTGCAGTCGTGGGGCCACAAGCAGGTCTTATGTAAAATTGAAAATCAGACCCTTCAGGTCCTTATTTAGTCACCAGGCTCCCGGGAGTAGGGCGGGCCTGGCTGTACCTTTCGCTCACGGGGCCCTCCCTGCTCCGGGGACCCCCTCACCTTAGTTACTCTTAATACTGCTCTACTATATTAGGACTCCTCAAGTCCTGTAAGCAACCAACTAAATCACGATAATTATCCTTATCTCCGGGGAAGTAGGCGGCATATATTGGAACTTTACAGGGCCGCCAAAACCCCGGGTCTATCGATCTTTTTTCCTTAGACTTACAATTTCATTGACTCGGGGGTCTGGGTCCTAGTGACCGCGTGCTACTAGCCCAGCCCCACCCTATTGCAAATTTTTAATTTTTCCAACTACACTTGATTGTAACTACTTTCTTGTGATCTGTAAATAAATTATTTAAAGAAAAAAAAGTACGGTCTGCAGTTAGTTACATGGAATTTCTATTTTTTTTTACACGGCTTTAGCGGATTGAGATCTTCAAAAAGTGGAGGCTAGCTTGTAGTCCCCAGATAAGAAGGGGAACCGGCCTTGCAAATAACTTTCCTGGGCTCTGAGGGCTATAGTTTGGCCTAAGATCAAGGTAGGGCCCGGGGCCCGCTGCCCCCTCCCCTAACCTTATTTCCAGGGCTTTTTTCCTTAAAAACTTTTCAAAGGAAAAAAGTCCTTGGAACGAGGTTGACCCCTTACCGCGATCCTCACATAACCTAAAAACGTGGCTGCGGTGAACGAATGAACCCACCAAAAGCGTTGTTTTTAGCGAATACCCTCTTTAAAAAATGGCAGTCGGATGATGGCAAAAAGACTACAATTAACTGATTCATTAAGGTAGTGACATTTCAATAACAAACAATAAAAAAACTAATTTGCAAAAAGAAACAAAAATCTGAATGATTCTGGTGCATTCAAGCCCCGTTAATACGGCCACTGAAGGGGCCATAGAAAGTGTAAATATTAACAGCGTGTCCGTATTAAGCGGGTTAAATTTAAAGAAAATGTAAGGGCTTTCTTTCACCAGGGACAAAGGGAACTGTCCGTAATAACGAGGTGTCCGTATTAAGCGGAGTTCGATTGTAGTTACAATCAAGTGACGTCACGGTGGAAACGGCTTTTAGTCGAATCTCTGTCCTGCCGGGGCCTCCTCTTCTTTAGTCTGTGTAGTAGCGCTATAAAGGGAATCTCACTCTCTCCTCACTCTCTCACTCTCTCCTTTCTTTCTCTAAGGGAAGTGAAGGACTATTATTATTACTAGAAATACGTGCATCGCAGAACCTCGCGAAGCTCGGGGGGGGGGGGGGGAGGGTGGGATGTAGTTAATCTTCTTTTGGTAGGAGTAAATTTGAACCCAGTGCTCTGGCGCTAAAAAGGATCTTCTGGGTTAATTGTAGTCAAAAAGAAATGGGCCTGATAGTGAAAAACTGGATTAATCAAGTAAATCACACTTCTAATCTACACCTCAACAACAAAACTATCCTTAAGCAATTAAAACGTCTTCGGATAATATATTCACAATTTTTTAACATGTCTAAAAAGTATTTCTTTCTACGCGTAAAACATTATTATTATTATTATTATTATTATTATTACCACTACTACTAACTAAGAAATCAGACTATAGATCGTTCTTCAAGGCGTCCGCCTTAAACTCGTCTGTATTTCTGGAATTTCTACCTGTAAAATAACATAAGAGAGCTTTAGAAAAGCAATTTTAGGTGATAAGGGAACAATTCGAAACAATGTTGCAACGCCGTGATGCGCTGAAAATAGTCGTTTCGACACCGTCTTCACAAGACGATGTCGACGATTTAATTTATTGTGTTCAAATGAAAAGCGAATAACAAACCTTTCCAAAATGTTAGAAGGTCGTCTATGGTTTCGGCTTCCTAAAAGAGAATAGAGGCAAAGAAAAAAACGTTGTGAGCGCCTGTTCTAATTAATGTAGTTTGCGATAATATTGGAGCGGAGTCGCAATAAATTATTACATACTTTCAATGTTTCGAAGGTGACTTTGCCACTTTCTTGCACTCGATAACCTAAAACGAAAGAGAAAGTACATCATAATAACATCACTACTCTTTCAGCTCAAAAGGAGCAAACTTGCGATGGCGGGCGAATCTCCGGGCGGAATGTACCCAGCCAGTAGAGGCTTTCTTTCCCTATTGCAGCTCCATTTTGCCGTACTCGAGAAAGACTCGGCATGAATGGAGGAAGATCTTTGTTGAGCATGCGCTGCATGTTGCTAGGGAACAGTTTCGAACCCAGGCCTAATAGCCATGCGCTTGGTACAGTGGGCTCAGTTATGGCCACCGGCTTTTTAAATAATAAATCGATGCTCCCACTAAAAAACTGTTTGACGAGAGAAAAAAAGATTGACTAGTCTAGAAGTTCCGGCTGCGGCGAGTTCAAAGGATCGACGCTATTCAAGAAGAGCTTCCTTTTCTTTTCCTCGATCAAAAAGAAGACAAAAGCAGGCTCTGCTCGAAGGGTAGCCAGGCGGAAGAAGGCGACAACCGGAAACACCATACGCATGCGCAGCTTGTAGTATTTTTTCTCTCCTGTCTAAAAATTCTAAGAAATTGGTATTAGAGACCTTTAGATTCTCAGACGAGTGCGACCGCGAGTACGAGATTTTCTCGATACTAAGTAAAGTTCGCGCGTGAGCCAGCGTCATTTTGGCGGGAAAATGTGGTAGCCGTCGTCATTCCACTACGAGTTTTCGCGCAAATGTCGTGGTGGCGAAAACAAAATATCAAGTGCTGAATGTTTTATCTTTTTGCGATCGAGAGAGCGCGTAACCTCCTTCACAGCATTCACTTAAGATAACAATGCTAACTTTTCCAGTGAAAAATGGTAAAATGAAGCTTTCCGGGGAGTCTATATTTTCAGAAGACGCAAAAAACTTTAAGTCAAATCTCGTACACGTAGTCGTCCTTGTCCTCAAATCTAAAGGTCTCTAATACCATACGCATGCGCAGCTTGTAGCATTTTTTCTCTCCTGTTTAAGAATTCTAAGAAATTGATGCTGATTACCACTCACCAAAAACAGCAGGTGCTTGCCTACTGCAATGTCGGGAAAACAGAGACAGCGAATTTGCACCACAATCGTGTAGGACAATGTAATCATTTCTTTCCACCTGAAACGTAAAAGTCATATACAGTGGAACCTCTCGCTACGGACAGTCCGATAATACGGGGCATGTCTCCTTGGTGACCGTATTAACCGGGTTCCATATATGGTAGTGAAGAAGACGTATAGGTTGCAATCAGATTGCTCGAAATCTATTGCGGAAGTTATTTTTAAACTGTGTAGATAAAATCACCACTGCAAAAAATAAAGCGATATAACTCAACTATAAAAAACTGGGATAAGATATTACTTAAAATCTTATTAAAAAAATTTTAAAAAAATTAAAACGTAAAAAAACCATGGCGTCGTTTTTGAACTTCACTGTCAATCAAAAAATAAATAAAAACATAACAATGTTTAATAAGTTAAAGAAAAATTAAAAGTTGATTACTGATGTTTTTTTCTTGTATTTATAAAACATGGTAACCAAGAAACTCCAAACGTCGTCAGTCTTTTTAAATGTTTCTAAATTTTTGAAAAACGTCTTTTAAAATGATTTCAAGTAATATCTTATCGCAGTGTTTTTAATAATCAAAGTACCTTAGGGAGAAGAATATTTCTTTTGATTACATCTCCGGAAAAACACAGAGGTCCAGCGATGTTATGGTTTATTTTCTGTGTAATAATCAATGACAAAAGAATACATAAAAAAATGAAATAGAAATGAAACAATAGAGCCATTTATACGAGGAAAAATAAGACGCGTCTTACATAGGACGTGTCTTAAATAAGACGCAAACTTTCCGTATAAACGGCACGTTTCGTCTAAAATAAGACGCGGCTTAGCTAAGACGAGAAAAACTTCGTATAAATGACCTTCGCGTCTTACATAAGACGCGAACGCATAGTACGCATGCGTTAATTTTTGGCGCGCCACGTTGGATTGCAGTTGCTACTGGCAACATTCACACGAAAACGAGTCAAGAACAGAAATAAGACGTGAACCATTTATACGAACTGTTCTGGTCTTAGATAAGACATGCTCGTATAAACGGTACAGTTCGCGTCTTATTTAAGACGCGTCTTATGTAAGACGCGTCTTATTTTTCCTCGTATAAATGGCCCTAATGACAAAATAGAATTGCCACGGGGAATAAGAAAGATGTATGTTACTAAAACGGAGAACAAGAAGCGGGGAACAAGCACGGGGGACGGGAAAATGAAAAATGGGAACAAAACCTAACTTGAACTTTAGCCCTACCAATAACTTCATTTCCAATTCTCTTTTTTGCTCCCATTTTTCACTTTCCTGTTCCCATGACTCGTTCCCCGCTCCCCGTTTTAGCGGAGCTTCACGCGCGCGCGCGCGAGCCGAGCCCTATACCTAAAGGAAAATGGAAACCTATCGATGCCAGAAAATTTGGTTATGACGTCAGCGTACGCCCGTACGTTCGTACGGACTTTGGGGCAGGTAGTGGGGGTGGGACTGGAGTGACTGGCAATTATTAGGCGCGGAATAAAATTGGACAACCTGCGTTTTTTTTCGCGCAAATTTTAGTAACATCCTAAGAAAAATAGACAATGCACAATCTAATAGGTATGCATTCTGATGCACTACACTTACAGCCAGCACAGATGCGCGTACAAGTACAAATTCACTCATTACAGGCACAAAGCTAAACAAGCATTTTTTTTCTCTCGTTTGTCGATCAGTGGGGACCTTAAAATCCGACGACGGCGACGGCAACGAGAACATCAAAGAAGCAATAGGTTGATTATTACGATTTAGCTTCGTTGTAGCCTATCTGGGCGATATAAGAGCCCTTTGCTATGGGAACGTTATACCTTTCCTTCTTTAGGTTGTCCATGGCTATCAAAAACTTCCACACGTCTCTGCAGTAATTAAAACAGGGTAACACTGTCAGTCCAGTACATGAGAAATAGAAATGGTTCTTATAACAATCCATTAAATTACTACACAACGAAAACGTTCCCATCGTGTAACCTGTTAATTTCAGGATAAAAATTATGGTAGTTCTGCACCTACTTGATATATCTTTACATCCGGGCAGTAACACGTCCTTAGTAAAATATCCTACAACAGTTTAAAGAAAAAAAACAAAAACAAAAAGCAACAAACAAAATAGGTCTTCTGTAAAACTCCTCCGTCATCCTCTATTAAGCTCCCCTTTCTAAAGGCCTGTTTATATGAGGCTAACCGGTCGGGCTCATCTCATATAAACATTCCCTAATAAGGCTTCCTTTTGCAGGGGAAGAAAGTTATTAGCCCCCCTCCCCTCCCCGCTTATTCTTAAATGAAATACTGTATTAATCAATCACGACTGTAACACCTCACGCGGACTGACCCAGTATGGTATATTCGTGTGCTTGAAGTTCGGATTTGTTTTTAATCTTCGGATTCATGACACCTAACTTCATGTGTCCGAGCTTTTCCACTTCGCGTTCTAGTTCTTTAAGGATAAATGGATAAATAAACTCGACCCCCCTCTCCGTAAAGCCCACCTCAAACGTGTTTGAAATAGATAAGCCCCCCCCCGGGGGGGGGGGGTTGTTAGAGGATTTCAGGTAGTTATTTTTTATCGGTTAAGGATCTCGTTTGCCAGAATATATTCTGAACTTACAGCTCCAAAATGTATAAGTGCCACTCTTAGTTCATCTGATGGCACCTTTGTGTATTCTACTCTACTGACAAGCCAGCCTGCCTGGAGAAATTACATAAACAAATTAAATTAAATGATTTTTGAGGTTTTCAGTTTGCGCTTTGAAAGGCGGATGTACTAAATGTGTGTAAGGGTTCATTTTTTAAAATCCAATTTTGTTCGTAAACAAACCGTAAGTTCACGCAAGAATGCGGACGACGCAGTGAGAAATGAGCCGGAAAAAAACACTTCTCTCCCGCCTTTTTTTCCCTTCGTTTTCCATTTCACGGCGCCATTTCATCTTTTATTGCATTCACACTATCAAAGTTGATTTACGTACTCCAGTGAATTCCATACCTTTGTATTAAATGCGTGGCCAAACTCAGTTATCACTTGTTTGAATACTCCGTGGCTGGGAAACAGTTCTGGAACTTTTTCCTAACAACGTAAGCAAAACGAAACATCTGCCTTGTGTAAAGGGATACCAAGACAGTCCTGGATTCTGGATTCCAGATACTGGATTGCGGATTCTGAGACAATGGAACTTGGATTCTGGGTTCCAATCGTTAGTGGGATTCCGGATTCCTTGAGCTGTATTTAGGATTCCAGATTCCACAAACAAAAATTTCGTGGATTCCGGAATCCGAATTTCTTTACTTGGGGTGAAAACATATAAGAAGGGTCACGTGACATTATAAGCAGACTGCAGCAACATTACAAATAGGCATTTCTATATATAGTACGATCAGCTTTTCAGAATTCAATGTGTCTACTTTGTATATTTTTGCTGATCAGGTCTTCACATAGATCCTACGTTCTGCGGCATATTCATTTGCTGTCCTTTGCAGTTTAAATGTCAGTAAAGTAAAGTAAGTAAAGTAAAAGCTTTATTAATGTGTTAATGTATATAGTTTTCACAACTAATTGGGGACACAAAAATAAAAATTATTTACAAATAAGAAATAATAATAATAATAATGTATATACAATTAAAATATGTAGCATGTATAAATTGTATAATAAAACAATAAGTATATCTAAAACCAACTTCGGACATTTTTTTGGAAGCGTGGTTTACATCTAACCATCCGTATATTTCATGCCCACCCTCCAGGTTTTGGGAAAATTTTGACGATCTTAATATATACTTCAGTTTTATCCGGGCAGCACTCGCGGGTCAAAACTTCGTGTACCAGACACAGATGACGTAAACCAAAAGACCTCTTTGTTTCCTGTTCAGGGAAAAATCTGCTTAGCATTGTTTCATGGTTTTTGTTCTTTTGTTTTATGTCACCTGTGTCCGGTACAAGAAGTCACTTCCCCGCCGCGGTTCGTCCTGCGACGGAGCAAAATTATTACGGTCTCGATGTATCAGAGGACGGGAACTTTAAATATTCAAAAGAGCTTATTGCATTGTTTTTGGCATGTCGAATTTTGGGGACTGAGGGGCTTAAATATAACACATGAACGGGTTAATTAATGTTACGGAATTTTACGTTACTTGCCTGTTAACCTAACGAAGGGCACACAGCGAGTAATCTCTCTTTTGCTCAAAAATCTCACACATGTTCGGGCAAAAGAGAGACTGCTGGCAGTCTAAAAAGAGGGACGGCTATACGTAGGCTTGTTACATGTGGATTTCTTGACTTACTCTTAGGTCTTGCGCATATTCCTCAAAAGAAACACGAGCAGTATCATCCTCTGTGTTCACCTGACAAAGCATCAATATTGGTTATAAATGAAAAAAAGATCATCGCAGCAAGGGACGCAACTTTTGCAGTTGCGAAAAGAAAGCCTGAAAAAAATCGGGCTTGTACAGGATTAGAACCCCAGTTCCCCTTTTTGTGCAATACCGGTGTACACTAATGAAACAATTATTGATTCAGATTTTGGAATACCCAGAAAACTCAAGATCTTTCTATTAGTTAGTCCTTCATTAAATTCCGGACATCACAAAACATAACTGTATACAATCGTGCAACATTTAACTTGAGTTCTTCATTCTTTCATCTTTACCTTGAGGCCGCCACCTATGTCAACAACATCAATCTGGTTTCTTCCTACTCGATGGTTAACTTCCTGAATGACAATAAAAGAAAAATAATAATACAACTTATGCCTAACGTCCACTATGTTACTTATATACAGCTGTATTACTAAATTTGTAACAATATTACTAACAAATTGTTAAATCTCGTTACCAAAGCAAATTGTACGATGCACTTCACTCCTTGAGTAAGAGAGTCATAACCAAAGCTCTAAAGATCAGAAAAATAAACGAATCAATTTAGGTTTCTAGGAAACTACCCACCTACCCCTCCCCTAAGCCATCACTTTGCCCTAAGTGAGAAGTAAGTGTTAATGTGAGCTTAGGGAAGGGGTAGGTGGGCAGTTTCCCAGAAACGTAAATCGATCCAAATAAACACATGAAAAAAGCACATAATTGTGGAAATTGCAATATCAGAATCAAAGATTACATAAAGCAATCTTACATTTACATTGTATCACCAAAGAAGTTAAAGATCATCTTTCTTTAGTAAGGTGCGATCTCCAATTCTCCTTCAATTCAATTCGTTATTTTTGTTAAAGCCTACCTTGTGTTCTATGCAACTCTACAAAAAATAAGGTAGTTATCCATCGATAATGTTGTTTCATCAATGAGAATTTAGCTCCAAATTAGTACAACAGTTGAAAATGCAACAGACTTGATTTTCAGCAGCTTGTATGCCAGCACTTCCTTTGGGTTTTTGGTTGGAAAAAAAAAATAGCACAGACATACAGAGCAGTGAAAGTTGGGATATTGGATCTTCTTATCGTCAGTATTTTTATGGAAGTGCGAATGATGTTTGTTGCTTACGTAATGTAGACTGCATGTGTTCTTACTTAGCTACCTGAGTTCCTATGTGTACATGAACCCCTGTCAGCCATGGCCGGTTTACATACCAACTGATTAAGTCTTCTTTTGATGATTCAGTGAGCTATTAAAACAAGAAAGGACAGTGGAACCTAGATATACCAAAGGGACAGAGCACTCACGCAAAATTTGTTTGCTGTTATAATGAGGTTTCATTATACAGTGGAACCTTGATAAAACAAAGTCCTTGGTATAATGAGTGATTTTCTTTACCCCAGAAATAGTAAAATGTATAAAAGTGAAACTCGATAAAAATGAAACTTCATTGCAGCGAACATACTTTGCCAGTCCCTTGGCACTTCGTTATATCGAGATTCCACTGTAGTTACGTTCTTTTTCATATGTTCTTACTACCACTGAGGTTAGCATCAGTACTGAGGAGGTGATTCTCCTCTAAATTGGGGATCCAAAGGTCAGTTGAGGGGAACAGGATGCCTTCAGCAGGCCAGTTTTTGATCAATAGGGTTTCGATTTAGAAGATCTATTTTGCAATAAAATGTGTGAAATAGCCATTTTTGTGAAGTGATTTTAAAGAACGGAATTAATTTACTGGGTAATGGGAAACAACACAGACACTGGTATTACATCTCACCTTTCAGTATCCTGCACAGCTACATCTGCAGTTGGCAGTAGCGCAGTTGTTAACAAAACCAAATTTGTTATACCAAGAGCCATTTGATTGCTTGGTTATAGGTTATAACAATGACATTCCACTTGGAACCGTGTGAAATATCTACAGTAAAATCATCTTTTCCTGACAACCTGAGTGCTCTGTGCAGTTACAATTTTTATTTTGTCTCCTTTAGAATGTTCCTCAAACAAGTGAAAATAGTTATTTCACAACACAACTCACCAGTACTCCAAATTTTGAATCTTGAGTACATACACTGTCAGTAAATAAAAAGGAAAAAGCATTCTAAGAGCTTAATAGTACAAGAGTTTCTTATCAAGTGAAGTGAATTTTAATTAATTTACTCAGTCACTTGAAAAATGAGAAGAGAATTGGGGGAAGGCAAAAAAAATTCTTTCTGTACCAGGGAGGCAGAGATTTTTTCTGGTAATTATATAAGTTTTTTGTTTTTTAAGTTTCTTACTGTACATAGTTTACACTTGTCCAAGTTTTCTCTATTATTTCTCATCAAAAAAAGTGGAAGCATCTAAATATAAATAAATAAATTAATAAATAGATACACCCCACCATGTACATGACATTTATATATAAACAAATCACCACTTCATAACTTCTGAATCATTTTAATTAACACATATAGATCTGAGGAATCCACTTTTCTGTGTGTCTTGTCAAAATGTAGTAAGAAGTTAAACATTATAGTGTATCCTGATCATAATCACCCATTCAAATGCACAGCATACACGGCATCATACAAAACACAAACCTCAAGGCCTGTACGTCTCCAGCACCAATAAGTGGATTTAACCTGAGTCCCACCTTTGACTTAGTGTGACTACAATCAAAAATGAGAGGAGACTATATCTTTGCAAGTCATGGCAAACAGTATTAAGGTAAACAAGTGTAATTTAAATACAATGTAAATGATGAACATAACATTACAGATCTACATGTACATATCTTGCCTAAAATTGCCATTTCTGATTGGCTCACATATCCCCCAGCTCTCTTCACAACCAGCCAGCGTTCAACAAATTTTCCAACTTGAGCGATAACATTCTCCTGGATCTAGATAATTCTTCACATCAAACTCAGCCCAATTCAACGATTATTTTTTTTAAACTTGCCTCAGTTCTTTCATAATATCTGTCACGACCTCAAGTTCTTCACAACTGTTAATATTTATGATAATTCCTTTCTCCAAGCCAAATTCTACAGAACAAGAGAGAGAGTGATTTCTATCAGTCCCCACCAAAAAACAAACAAACAAACAGACAAACAAACAAGTAATAAATTGGTCATGTCCTAATTTTGTTATATTTTATAAGTATTATCTAATTAATGTTTCAGTTTTTCTATTATTCATGGATTACTTTTTGTTATTTTTTCTGACAGTGAGGACCAACAGAGCATTGTGATTAAAAAATACATACATGCAAAAACTACAGAAATATAATTATGTTCTGTCCCAGAAAGCTATAACTGATTGAATGGCACGTATATATAACTGACAGTACGACCATGCAACGTGGGCATTGGATACTTCACATTGAACACATTATTAATATTAATTTTGTCATTTCCATATGACTTCATTTTTAATAGCATTGCTTGCTTTTAGTGCGAATTAAGGCTAGGGACACCTTTTAATGTCATTCATAATACAAAAATATATGGGGCGTGAATCTCATAGGAAGCATAACTTTGAACACAACTCAGTATTATAAGGGATGCTGATTGCCAGAGGTAGCCAAGATTGACAGAGAAACTTGATTTTAATAAGAATGTCATACTTAATTCAGGAATTGTTTTGACTGGTGAGTCAAACACTATTCTCTCTGGGGCAAATCCAATATCCAGGGCGTGCAGCACTTCACCTATAGATGCACACTCAACAGCATGGCCCTAAAACATTAAAGAGGGAAAAATAGAATTAAAACTGGTGAGCTTCATACGAACTACAGTGGAACCTGACAACTTTTTGCCACCTCTCTACAATGGCCACTAATTTTTTTCCGTACATACATTAGCTCTTGTTTAAACAACTCTACAGTTCAGCTGCCTCTCTACAGCAGCAACAGCCACTAAAGCATGTCTCCAACTGCCAAAATAACCTCTCAACAACAGCCAGTTTTTTCAGAGACTGATAAAAAAGTCAAGAATGTATGGTATGAAATTTGATCTATATGGCCATGTCGCATTGATGATTAATCATGGCATAATTGTAATTGGATTGTGTACTTCCACTTTTGCTGCTAAAAAATTAAGTATAAATTGTCTGTGATACTAAAAGTGAATGTTCCAAACTTTTCTTGTTTTGTCACATTAATATTTTGATTTAAAACATTATTATTCAAGTTTTTCGTGTATATTTTATCTCTGTATATTACTATGATTGGATTACCAAGAATACAGTAAGCATGAACTTTGCATGATAAACATGTTGTACTCCCTAAAAGAATTGTTCCTATTACACCCCTACCTCCTCCCCATTATGGCCACCTCTCTATACAACGGCCACTTTCTTCTGTTGCTAAGGTGGCCATTTATTTGTTGAGAGGTTTGACTGTATTAATATAGCTTGACATATGACCTGAGAGTGGCTGATTTTACCATACTCAAAAACAAGACCAGAAAATACTGCAAACGCTGATAATAAACTTACCAGTGGGACCAAAAATAAGGAATGTAAATATTTTGATCTATTAGTTTAGTAGTTTTTGTTCATAACAATTGTCCCATTTATCATTTTTTGCTAATAAATTAATAATTATTTTTATTAGCTTTTATATTTTATTTTTGATTAATTAAATCCCTCATGATCAAGATTAGATAATATGAATTTAAATTTGATATTTTAATACTTCTACAGGTGTATGTCTTAATTTATCATTATACATGTATGTTTTCCTAATTTCAAGTGAAACCTCTATTAAGTGGACACCTTCGGGACCTTCCCAAGTGTCGGCTTAATAGAGGTTTGTAAAAATTGCACAATGTTTGTTAACGATAAACATTCAATGGTTACTCTGTGTGATGAAGTTCCACCTTGTGCTCCACTTTATGCAAGACTTTTAGGTGAACATTGATTGTGGATGACAATCATACAGTCGGATATTGGTCTAATCTTCAGTTTATTGACAGCTAAATGTATTAATTTACCTTCATTAATCGGCCACAGTGCATATTTCAAGGACGTAATCCAATACTACAATTGTCAATTCAGTCTGGTGTCCACTTAATAGAGGTTTTCAACAATAGAAATTAGCCAAATACAATATATTTTAGTGACAGTCTGCATCTGCTTTATAGAGGTTTCTGCTGAATAGGGGTTCGTTATAAAGGGAAATATAAGATGTTAATTTCAGGACCAGCTTAGTGTCCGCTTGATAGAGGGTGTCTGCTTAATTGGGGTCCGCTTAAAAGAGGTTTCACTGTAGTAGGTTTTTCCTTCAATTGGGCAGCTAGTAAAATGAATGCATATAAAACAAATTGATTTACTGTTGGAAAGACAACCGCATGCACATAGTAATTAACAAAGAGATAGTCTAGGAGAAATTTTACCTTGTCCAACACAATTTTTAATACTGCCGAAACTGGGTTTGATTTCATAGCCATTGCATGGAGGAAATCTAAAAGGCAAAATTTAAAAATTTTTTGATTCGGTTACACTCTTTGTAAAGGCCCTTTGAAGGTGTCAGAAGTTTATTAACCCTTAAGTCCCAATAGTGACCAACATCAATTTTCTCCCAATGATATCCATACATTGTCAAGAGATTAGGTTTTGAGAATTAATAAAATGATCATGTAAGAGAAAATGCTTTGATCTTTTGTCAAATTCTCTCAACTCATTCTTTGAGGAAACATATAGAGATCAGTTTGGAGAATTTGTATGTGGATATTGGGGCTTAAAGGGTTAAAAGCAAAGTCTCCTGGATACAGTGACAAGCAACAACTCAAATGAAAATTTGTCCTCAAGATCATGTGATGAATTAATGTGACTGGTTCCATGCCAGTTACGACGTCTAAACGTTGCAGCCAACTGCTGACATACGAAGGACACGTTGGTAGTCTACACTAGAGCCTAAATAAGCTACGAAATATTTCAAGACAAGTAAATTTTAAATTTTTTAAATAAAAGAAAGCTTCACACACAACCTATCTTTTTTGTTACCTAAGCCTATTTTCCCACCAACATAATTAAGATTGATTGACATGCTTCGCCTTTCTCAAAGCTTAGAAACCGCAAGTTAGCTAAGTCGGTTTTAAGGGTGGTTTTCGAGTCACTTGAAACTTTCTTGAATCGTTTCAACTTTCCGACTTTAATGACATGCAAAGTAAAGTTACTAGAGATTTTACTTAGGCCTTCACACGTATTTTTTGGTTAAGTAAAACTTAGCAGCTCTCAAGTCTTACTTAACAGCCTAGTCAGCTGCCTAGTGTAAAGACAACCGTTGAAGGCCTCGAGGAGACAAACATCAGCTGGTAAGGTGGTCTGTCGGCTCATCTCTGGTGTAATATAATTTATTACTCACAGCTACGTAAAACAAAGAAAACAAAACATCCTAACAATGAACCTAACCCTGCGGTCTGTGTCATGATCTGACTACAGAAGGCGGCAAATTGTAGTTACCTTTTCCAAAAGCCTGTTTGGCTCTTTCAAGTCCGGCTGCAAATTCATTGAGATCATAGAAAAGAGCAGCATGTTGCGGGCCCCCTGGCTTATACACAAGAGAAGGAGGCCCTAAAATGCCATCAGATATGGCTGCCTTCAGGGCAGTACTCGCTGTTTTCCTAGACATTGCTTGTCTTGCTCGTCCTTGACTCCTTGCTGGGTATGTATTTCCGGCTCCTTATCATATTTTACTGCTGTCAGCGGTCTTACATGAAGTTTAGTTTTCTGTGTATGTGATACTGGAAATTCTTGCAGATTGTATCACAGGTGGCCCAAGCTCACTATGAGAGCCGTGAACAACATTATCCTACTTAGCTAATTAATTATTCATACAGCAAGAAAATTATAAGACGTTGTATGGAGAAATATTCTTTGCTCACTAAATTAGCAAAATGTACATTGAATATCGCTTTGAAGCTTACTTTTAGCGTCTTCTTGTTTTTCTTTGTATTCTGACTGCATTTCAGACCTCCTAGGCACTGTTTAAGGCCTTTTTCGGAGCGACAGTTTTTCACTGTGTTAAACAGTGCCTAGGAGGTCTGAAATGCAGTCAGAATACAAAGAAAAACAAGAAGACGCTAAAAGTAAGCTTCAAAGCGATATTCAATGTACATTTTGCTAATTTAGTGAGCAAAGAATATTTCTCCATACAACGTCTTATAATTTTCTTGCTGTATGAATAATTAATTAGCTAAGTAGGATAATGTTGTTCACGGCATAGTGAGCTTGGGCTACCTGTGATTGTATCATTGGAATCCCCTCAGGAAGTGGTCCTGAACCCCCGGGGAGGGGGGGTTACTCCCATACATTACCTATACGGGTATGTGCCGCCCAACGGGGTCGTGATTTTGAAGCTCCTGATTTAGAACGGGGTATCGATTTCAGAGGCGTTTTCTAGAACGGGGTATAAAAAATTGTGGATCACGGCTTTATCTTCTGCTTAAAATTTTTGCTGATTTCATTTATTTGATGTACAAGTCGAACAAATAAAGAAATATCTTTGTAAAAAACAGGGCTATTTCAATTTGCAAACTTTCTAGAACGGAGTATAAAAGATTGGCCCATTTCTAGAACGGGGTATCAGTTTTTGGGCGAATTCTAGAACGGGGTATAAAAAATTGGCCCATTTCTAGAACGGGGTATCAATTTTAGGGGAAATTTTTCTTAGAACGGGGTGCCAATTTGGAGTCCCGGGCGGCACAGACCCACCCAAAAAATACCCAAGTGCACCCCGGGCGTGAACAACAATTTTTACACAATTTTGTATGGGTGGGGGAGGAAAAAATAGGATTGAAATAGACACAGTGTGTTTAGCTCTAAGATGCTGTCGTAGTGTCGTTGTCTTGTAGCGTGCTTGGCGCCCCAAAGGCTTAGCGCGGGCAGAAGAAAGCGGACTGGATGACTGAAGAAGACTTACGCGGTTGTGGCTCTCATGCTATGATGTCTTTTAGAGCAGGAAGACATGAAAATCTATTTCCACAATGGCTATTTTAACTCCAGACTGGGAGTAAAAACAACTCTTTTTAGGAGTTAAAGTAACCCCCAAGAAGGCGTTATCCTGTCCCCAAAATGTTTACTCCATTTTTGGAGTTTGAATAACTCCCTAAAAATTAAGGTGTAAAGAATGTAAACAACGAACACTTTTTGCTTGTTGATGGAGAATAATCATTTTAGTAATTTATTTATTGAAATTGCACAAATTTCTATCACCTAGAGTAAAAACAAATATGGTCATTGGGTAACATTCCTCTCCTCTCAAAACCAGCGAAAAACGATAAACACTAACACAAGGATGCGATAAAGCACCAGCTAAAAGCACGTGCGCTCAGGCTACTTTATAACACGGAATAAAGCTACCTTGCAAATGTCTGAACATGATGCAGTTTCATTTAAACCGCCATGTTTTTTGTCCATGGAACTCCTGTCCAATCGACCGTACAAAATTCTGTAGTAAATGTGGTTTTCCTTTGCTTGCAATTGGTGGTCATACCCACTTCGTAGTACTTTGTGATTCTTAGTTTAATATGATCAGTTTTTTTAAATATAGAAATGGTTGCGACGTGTTTGATATGGAGGCAATTCTTGGTAGCTTAAGCAGTTGCGTGGTAACACCCCAAACTCTGCTTCAGATTTGGTGTTCCTTTTAGCCTAGATGTCGCGTTTTTTGCCAAGTGACACAAGAAGCGTTTGTTTTACTTTTCCTCTCTTCACCCAAGGGTATAAGTGGCTACTGGCAATTCCACCCCAGTAAGGAAACTTAATTAGGACCTTTTTAGAAAGCAAGCCACCGGTGAAATTTTGTTGGAAAATAGAAAAAAAATATGTCTAAGTCCCTGACTTACCAAATTGGCGTTTAGTGACTAGTTTAACTATGACAATCGTTTTGCCCACAATGCAGCTCCGGCCGGAACTAGGAAAACCAATTTGTGGCATGTTTCCTACCCTGAGAGTCGTTCCTATGATAAAAATCAGTGAAGTTAAAATTGACAAAATCTTAAGAATATATTATTAATAAGAATATAACCAAGGCTGAGAATTATTTTGTGCAAAACAGTTGTTTGCTTGTTAAAGAAAAACAATACTTTAGTAATTAATTAAATGGTCCAAGTATCAACTTGCCTGCCGAGTTAAGTTGTCAAAATAAAGTGCAATGAATTAGCATAGTGTTTTTAAAAAAGCCTTACTGTTATAACCATTGAAGATTATAAGAGCTTTTTTCTTTTTCTATCAAAACCAGAGGTGGATTC